ATACTTTACTCGGACTGATGCCAATACTAGTTGATAAGTAAACCCAATCCTCTGCAACTGCTTTGGCAGCACAGAAAAGCTTTCGAATGAGTCAGACACTCTGGTATTTCATTACTCTCAGCCTGACATGAAGTATTTTAAGAACCACGCTGTAGGGTAGAAGCAACCTTATTCTTCTTATCCCAAAAGAGAACTTCAAGGACAACTCCAGGCCACACGCAAGTCAATCGCGTGTACGAAAATACAATGAAAACATTGCACAGTTAGAAGTCGATTAAATACTAAAGAGGCTCTATCATTCACTCCTTATGTTCTCAATCTAGTGCCTCTTTATGAAAATCTTCTACGCTGATTAATAATGAGATTTCTGAACATAATTTCAAAGTAAAAATTCTATCGGCACCCGAGTATCTTTTTAAGTCCCTCATTTCAAAACGTTCAACAAAACGATTTCTTAGGGTTCAACAGCGGGGCTTTGCAGCGGTTGGGGAAACTCAAATCCAATTCAAATCAAATTAAAGTATATGTAACTGCAACAGTTTCAACATGCCCAAATCTCAAGAACAGCCTATATACATATAGCAATACATGAATTAAAATCTTAGTTTTATCCTTAACACCACTTTTTATATGATTTGGCGCAAGTAATTTGCACGCACCATGTAAAACAAAGATGAGCAAAATGCTTGAATTACATTAATAAGAAAGATAGTCTCCACACCTTTGCCATTCGATGAGCACTTCCCACGCTGCCACTGATCTCCAGATATTGAGCGATTTGTGCGTTGTAAGGCATATAAGGCGCTTCATCGTTATAATTCTAGAAAGTATTAGTCAGATGGCATTCAGCAAGTACCAAAGAAGCTCCAAATTAAGAATTCTTACCGATCCAACAAGCGGATTTTTCTCGTGAAGCTGACTTGGAGCATGGAGAGGTGGTGCAACGCTAGCTACCCATGACATATGATGCATCAAAACTGTTGATATTACGTTTGATAAGAAGCTTAAAATGTTAATCACAATTCCAATTACTTCC